AGCCTAACATGCATGTTAGGCTGATTGGTAACTCTAAATTGTCCCTAGGTGTGAGTGAGAGAGTGAATGGTTGTTTGTCTCGTTTGTCTCTATGTGGCCCTGTGATGGACTTGCGACCCGTCCAGGGTGTACCCCGCCCCTCGCACAGTGATTGCTGGACATGGGCACCAGCGACCCCCGTGACCCAAAATGGAACAAACGGGTAAAGATAATGGATGGATGGATGGATGGTTTTTATACCCACAGCAGAAAAGTTTTTGGCAGTTTTTTTTTTATTTTTTAAATTACGGGGTTTTTTTTTCTGCAAATATGTCAATAATACTACAAATTTTTCTTTTATTATTTCAAAGTAAGAAACATCATTTATTTTTTCCTCACAGAAAAGGACTCACACAGGCCTGCAGAGTTTGGTGTTCTAATGTATTTTAAAATCTGTATAAACTGTAATTTTTTTTCCTACAAAGTACTTTAAATTTGATCTTATTTGTGCTATGATCTAAAAAAAATCATTAAGTATTACAATTCATTATATATTTTTAGTTTTATATTGTCACCCCTCACTGACCAGAACGCCCTCGTCTAACAAACTCAAAATGGCCCATGGGCCATCATTTGATTATCACAATAGCAGGTTTTGCAGGTCTACACACATTTCATTTAGTGAGTGAAGAGGCAAAAATAACTCTTTTGATCAAAAAGTTTGCAAAACCCTGGTCTAAACCAAATTCTGTTTACAAGCCCCTGACTCATAGGTAATTTTTTATTTATTTTTATGTTTAAGCCAGTCCATTGATTGGCTTAAACCATTCAACACTTGCGCTTGGCAAGGGCGGACACCTTTCCCTCCTCTCCCTCTCAGCTTTGCTTTGCTCTGCCCCGTCTGTGAAACCGCTTTAGAGCCTCTATTCTAAAAAAATCTTCTGAATCATAATTCAGCTATGGATTTGGTCAGCTGGTCCCTCAACACAATTGACAACATTTCTTTGAAGAGAAGACAGGCTTTAGGTGAGCCGATTTGCCCTGTTGGCACGCACGTAGCTGGATATCTCATCGACTTGGAAGACTTGATGACGTGTCTATCTGTGCTGGCAATCGTGGATGTTAAGGACGCATATATAACTGGATTTATGATAACTGGTTTCTTGTTTTTTGGATTCGGCTGGTTCCTGGTCCATCAACAAACAAAAAAATCGATGGCAGAAAATTTGGCCCTGGTCAGGCTGCTTGCCTTATGATGGCTTGGCTCGTGCCTCAAGCACCCAGACTCAAATGCTTTTGGCAGGATGAATCAGATCTCGAGGAATACTCTCAGGCATGGTCCAGTGTTGTGGCCATTTAATTTGGATGTTTCAGAACTGAGAGAACCGACAGAATCAAGGTAGACATAATCAGGAAAGTTTAGCCTGTCCGCAAAACAATTGTGTTTATCTGAATTCGGCTCCCTGACTGGTCTTGACAGGCCACCTTATCTTAATTCACCTGGAAGCTCTGTAAACCTTGATGCTCTGCCCC